CCGTCTCAAAAAAAAAAAGAATCTATTAAAATTATCTCTGTTTTTTGAGACGGAGTCTCGCTCTAATATAATTATTAGTCCAGGCACGGTGGCTTACTCCTGTAATCCCAGTACTTTAGGAGGCCAAGGCAGACAGATCACGTGAAGTCAGGAGTTTGAGACCAGCCTGGCCAACATGGTAAAACCCCGGCTCTACTAAAAATACAGAAATCAGCCGGGTGTGGTGGCACAAGACTGTAATCGCAGCTACTCAGGAGGCTGAGGCACGAGAATCATTTTAACCCAGGAGGTGGAGGTTGCAGTGAGCCAAGATTACACCATTACACTCCAGCCCAGGTGACAGAGCAAAGCTTTCGCAAAAAAAAAAAAAAAAAAAAAAATATTTTATTAACATGTAGTAGTATCAAGTTATACAAAACAATATCCCATAGTTAAACAAAATTTCATAGAAATCGTTATTCAATGTACAGTAGGTTTCTATATGTTTCATAATACTGATGTTAATATAATTGCAATAAATAGCACAAAAGTTTGTGTCATGGAATTATACAATTTGACATTATACAATTTATAATTATATAATTGTATATTTAGGTTAATATAATTATACAGTACAATTCTATGTTGTATCTATTATGCATTATCTAACACGTAGTTTTCTATTAAATATTGGTTTTCCCTAAAACTTTATGTAAATGTAAAATGATTCTGTGTCATTGAGCATTATATCATAAGATATTAATAGTGTTTCTTATTTTTGCCAGTCGTCATTATGCGTTTTAAGACCTACCCCTGTTGCTCTGTGGACACCTGGTGTGTGGTGGTGGTGGCTTTGCAGGATTCTTTGGTGACCGATCCCTTCTGTTTATCCACACACCCCCACTGGGAGTGGACACCCAGGCTGCCTCCAGCTTCCCTGAAATAATGCAGGAGTGAATGTCTGTGTATCGGTCCCCCAGGAAGCTGAGGGAGAATGTTTTGTCGTGCATGCCCAGAAGCGAATTGCTGGGTGACATATCCGTGTGCACAATTTGTGTAAGTAGTGCCGGGTAGCCCTTGGCACGGCTACCCACTATCAATGCGTGAGGGTCCCTGGGTCCCCACATCCCCAGCCCCCCCTTGGCATTTTCAACTTCGAATTTTTGCCAGATTTATATAGGAAGACTCGCTGTTTTTAAATTTATTTTCTCATTTTATTTTTAGAGGTGGGGTTTCACTTTGTTGCCCAGGCTGGGGTGCAGTGGTGCAATTATGGTTCACTGCTGTCCGGAACTCCTGGGCTCTAGGGATTCTCCCACCCTCCTGCGTAGCTGGGACAACAGGCTTGCACCACCACGCCCAGCTAACTTTTAAACTTTTTATAGAGATGGAGTCTCGCTATAATGCCCAGGTTGGAATTGAACTGGTGGACTCAAGCAATCCTCCTACCTCGGCTTCCCGAGGAGCTGGGATTACAGGCGTGACCCACCGAGCCTGGCCTCACTGTCATTTTAATTTCCACTTCCCTGATCAGTTACTAGCAATTTCCAGGGTCTTCTCAGGTGCCTATCAGAGTTTCGGGTTTTTTTGTTTTCTTCTCATTGTGCTCTCTGCTTTTTTTTTTTTTTGAGACAGAGTCTTGCTCTGTTGCCCAGGTTCACTGCAACCTCCGCCTCCTGGGTTCCAGCAATTCTCCTGCCTCAGCCTCTCAAGTAGCTGGGATTACAGGTGCCCACCATCTTGCCCAGCCAAATTTTAAATTTTATTTATTTATTTGTAGAGACAAAGTCTCACTCTGTCACCCAAGCTGGAGTGCAGTGGCATGATCTGAGCTCACTGCAACCTCTGCCTCCCGAGTTCAAGCAATTCTCCTGCCTCAGCCTTCGGAGTAGCTGGGATTACAGGTGTGAGCCACCATGACCTGCTCATTTCTTTTGTATTTTAGTCTCGAACTCCTGAGCTCAGGCAATCTGCCCGGCTTGGACTCCCAAAGTGCTAGGATTACAGGCGTGAGCCACTGCGCACGACCTAATTTTGTATTTTTCAGTAGAGATGGGGTTTTGCCATGTTGACCAGGGTGCTCTTGAACTCCTAACTTCAGGTGATCCACCCACCTCAACGTCCCAAACTGCTGGGATTACAGGCATGAACCACGACACTCGGCCATTTTTCTATCATGGTTGCTGTCTTTTTTGCTTGCTGATATGTAGCTGTTCCTTTTATTTTTTATTTGTTTTGAGACAGAGTCTTACTCTGTCTCCCAGACTGGAGTACAGTGGCTCAATGCCAGCTCACTGCAACCTCCACCTCCTGGGTTAAACTGATTCTCATGCCCCAGCCTCCTGAGTAGCTGGGGTGACACAGCAATACTCACCACACCTGGCTAATTTTTGTATTTTTAGTAGAGACAGGGTTTCACCATGTTGGCCAGGCTGGGTTCAAACTCCAGATCTTAAGTGATCCACCTGCCTCAGCCTCTCAAAGTGCTGGGATTACAGGCATGAGCCACTGCACCTGGCCAATATTCTAGATATTAATTTCTCATTGACTTTTAAATATTGAAAACACATTTTCTCTTTCTGTCATCTGCTATTGGTCCCATGATATCTTTGTTAAAAGAAAATCTGCCTGTAATCCCGGCACTTTGGGAGGCCTAGGTGAAAGGATCCCTTGAGCCCAGGAGTTCAAGACCACCCTGGGCAACATAGCAAGACCTCCATCTTTAAAATTAAAAAAAGAAGCCGGGCACGGTGGCTCATGCCTGTAATCTCAGCACTTTGGGAGGCAGACGGGTGAATCACAAGGTCAGAAGTTCAAGACCAGGCTGGCCAAGATGGTGAAACCCCATCTCCATTAAAAATGCAAAAATTAGCTGGGTGTGGCTGCGGGCACCTGTAATCCCAGCTACTCGGAAGGCTGAGGCAGAGCGTTCCTTCATCCTAGGAGGCTGAGGCTGCAGTGAGCCAAGACTGCGCCACTGTACTCCAGCCTGGGCCATAGAGCAAGATTCTGTCTCAAAAAAAATAAATAAAATTTTTTAAAAAATTAAATAAAATGAAAGAAAGAAGAAAAACAACAAAAAAGAAAACCTATATTTGGATGTTATCATATGCATCATTTTCCGGCCTTATGAGTTTCTGCGGTTTGATTCAGCAGGACCTTCCTTTGTGGTCATCAGTGTTGGTATTGTGGGTATTCTTGGCAAGCCCGAGGGCTAAGGCCGCCTGTGTACAGACCAGTGCCAGGATTCCCGACCTCCTCTCTGAGGCTTTTCTGGGTCCCCAGAGCCTGGAGACACTGCCACACTACAAAGTCTCTGCTCAGCCAGGATTGTTAAGTCACATCTTCACAACACAGGTGCTACAGGCGATGGGCTGAGAGAGACGGGTAACACAGCATGGGGCCGGGGGTGGGGAGAGGGTGACAGGCAGGAAGAGAGAGTCTGAAGCTCTGATAACTTCGCATGATGGAAAAACTAAAGAGAACGGCTCCGTGACCGTCTAAATGTTCTGGTGTGGAATAGATATATATCCACAGTGCCTTCTTTTAGTGAAAAAAGAAAAGTGGAAAATATACTTCTGAGAGAACTGTTTCAATGAATACAAAGGCACTGTTTCAAAACACACATACTATGTTTGGCAGAATCACAGTAACTACTGTGACCCATTTATTCCACTCCTGGGTACAATATGGTACACTCTGGGTTCACCAAGAGTCAGATGCCCAAATAGTCACAGCAGCCGCAACCTGGAAACAACTCAGCTGTCCATCACAGGAAAACCGATCAACACATCACGCAGGCCCGGCACAGTGGTTCATGCCTGTAAAGTCAGCACTTTGGAGGCACAGCCGGCAGGTTCACCTGAGCCTAGGAGCTTGAGATCAGCCTAGGCAACAAAGTGAAACCGTGCTTCTATAGGAAAATAATAATTAAAAAAAATGAGCAGGGCACAGTGGTGTGCAGTGGTAGTCCTAGCCACTCAGGAGGTTGAGGTAAGAAGACTGCTTTAGCCCAGGAGTCTGAGGCTGCAGTGAGCTAGGATCTCGCCACCGTACTCCAGCCTTGGTGACAGAGCAAGACCGTGTTGTGGAGTCTTTTTTTTTTCTTTGAGACAGAGATTTGCTCTTGCTGCCCAGGCTGGAGTGCAATGGCACGATCTCAGCTCACTGCAACCTCCACACCCTCTGGGTTCAAGCGATTCTCCTGCCTCAGCCTCCCAAGTACCTGGAATTACAGGCATGCGCCTCCACGCCCAGCTACTTTTGCATTTTTAGTAAAGACGGGGTTTCACCGTGTTGATCAGAATGGTCTGAAACTCCTGACCTCAACTGATCCACCCGCCTCAGCCTCCCAAAGTTCTGGGATTACAGGTATGAGCCACCACGCCAGGCCAAAAAAAAGGAATAAATTATAACCAAATATGATAACATGGAAGAACCGCAAAGACAAGACATGGTGAGAAAGAAGCCAGATACAATACAGGAGTCCCTTTTCATCCCACTGAAAAGGAGACAAAATGACCGCACTAGGCTTTGGGTGAGTGGGGATCTGTGGGAATTCGTGCTGGGAAGAGACACGGGCTTGTGGAGGGTGAGAATGTTCTGTGTTTTGATTTGTATGAATGCCACACAGGTTTGCTCAGTTGCTGACATTTCATCAACCTAAATACTAAATGATTTATGTTCTTTTTTTGTACTTCAATTTTTAAAAATGTTGAGCATGACACATTTAGGTAGAAAGAAAAAAATGCACACTCAAAAGAAAACTCTGTATCTAGGAGCACACATTTAAATGATGCGCTTAGACGCACAGACAGCAGTTTGGACGAAACTTGACAACGTCATCTTGGTCCCTCCCTGCTTAAGAAAGACAGGGGGTGGGGAGGGGATCCCCAAGGGCTCTACCTCCATCTGTAATGGTTTTTGATGTGTGTGTGTGTTTTTAGGGTCTGGCTCTGTCACTTACACTGAAGTGCAGTGGCACCATCTTGGCTCACTGCAGCCTCGACCTCCCTGGGCTCAAATAATCCTCTTGCCACAGCCTCCTGAGTACCTGGGAGGTCTCAAATTCCTGGACTCAATCGATCTGCCCGCCTTGGTCTCCCAAAGTGCTGGGATGACAGGCATGAGCCGCCGCGCCTGATCCAGTCTGTAATGTTTTTTAAGGTAACAGTGGATGGTGGGAGGATTAAATTAGTTAATATTTTTAAAGTCCTTAGAGCATCGTGTGGTACACAGTAGGTGTTATGTGGAGCTTTGTTACAATAAAGTGAGAAAGTAAAAATGTTTTCCAGAGTATAGTATCACTTAAACTAGGAATAAAAGAAACCTGTGAAGAAATATACAAAATACTATGTCTTGTGAGTTTCCATTCAAACCTTCACGGATGATATACACACGTCTTTCTAGAAAGACAGACTTATCTTTTTGAGAGAGAGAGAGAGAGAGAGAGAGAGAGAGTGTGTGTGTGTGTGTGTGTGTGTGTGTGTGTGTGTGTGTTTTTACATAAATATTAGTCATGCTTTAAAAAGAAAAGCCCCTGCTTTTATTGAAGTATGATAGTGACGGGTCTTGAGACCAAAAGATGGGGGAGATAGAGAGCCCGCCTGGCGATCGAGGGTGGGAGAGCCAGCAGCGCCGGAAACCTCAGCCGAAGGGATCCCCGAGTGGGGGAGGGGGGCCTTTGGTCTCTCCCCAGCCTCTTCCTTCCCCCTGGCCTGAGAGGGTGGGTGGGGAGGGGCAGTTCCTCTTTCCTTCCCAAGCACCGAGGAGGCCCCAGCTCCCTAGGGGCTGAGAAGCTGGAGTCCTGGGGAAGGGGAGGAGCTGAGCCACAGTCTTGCAAGACCCCCGCCCTCCTCCCTCCACAGGAAGCATGAACAGAAAAGACAGCAAGAGGTGAGAGGACCCTCCCCAGGGAGCCCGGCAGCACCCTGAGGCCTCCCTCTGCACGGGAGGGCTGGGGGGAAAACTCACCACGGGGTAGGATGTCTGGCTCCTCTGGGATCCAGCGAAGGGGTGCCAGGTGGATGCTTCAGGGAGTCTGGAGCCAGTGAGGGCTGCAGTCACTTGCAGGTAGCATCTGTGCCGTGTTGCCCCTGGAGTTTGAGCTGCTTGGGGTCCTCTTCCCACTCCCTGTCACCCCACCTCCATCCCTGGCCTGGGCTGAGTGTCTCTGCCCTCCCTGGGGGGCTTCCTGGTTCCCCATCCCCCACTGGACTGGAAACTCTAGGCTCCTGCAGGGTCCTGCCCTAGGAGAGGAGAGTGTGACATGGGCCAAGGCAGTTCCCCTGCCTCTTAAGCCACTCCTGGGGCTGTTCCGGACCCCTGTAGGGGGCTGTGGGATGGGGCCTAGTGGCTGGCCTTGTAGCCAGTTCTAGCGTGGGCTCCTATCTCCTTGGCAAGCTGGCCCTTCTGTCCCCATAGAGGCAGATAGTGGCTGGCTCCCTAGCCTGGGTGGCTCCTCCTGCCATCCCCAGCACCACTCTGATGGGCAAAGGGCTTTCCTCTCCACCCGGCAGTTTAGTGGTAGACAGCTGGCTGCCTCACTTCCTAGCTGTGTGACCTTAGGTAAGTCACTGAACTGCTCTGTGTCTCGGGTTTTACTTATGTCAATAGGATAATCATAACCTCCACCTCGGAGAGACCTGTAAGTACTGAGTGAGACAGTCTAGACCAGTGGTTCTCAGGCTGCAGGAGCCTCCGAACTGTCGGGAGGGTTTGTAAAATACAGGTTGCTGGGCTTACCCTTAAAGTGTTTGATTCTGTAGGTCTGGGTTGGGACCTGAGAATCTGTATTTATATCCAGTTCCCAGGTTATGCTTTTGGTACTAGCTGGGTACCCACACTTAGGGAAACATTGATTTAGTTAAAATGCTCCCTCCTTGGCTTAGTACACATTTAATATTTTAAAACATCCCTGTTGCTGGCTGTGGTGGTGCACGTCTGTAATCCCAGCACTTTGAGAGGCCAAGGAGGGCGGATCACAAGGTCAGGAGTTCAAGACCAGCCTGACCAACATGGGAAAACCCCCGCGTCTACTAAAAATGTAAATATTGGCCGGGCGCGGTGGCTCAAGCCTGTAATCCCAGCACTTTGGGAGGCCGAGGCGGGTGGATCACGAGGTCAAGAGATCGAGACCATCCTGGTCAACATGGTGAAACCCCGTCT